ACCATTCTATCATACTAACTTCTTGCCCTCTCCAAATTCTATAAAAATGGTTATTCGTCATAGGGTATTTTTTTCTCAATTCCTTTAAAACTTCAGTTTTGGGTTTTGTATCATGATATTGTATAATAAATTTATAATCTTCTGGTGATAATGGAACCGCATCAGATCGCATACGTTTAACCATGTTAATATTTTTTATAGTATACGTACTATCCATAATATTATTTTTAAAAAAATATTTATACTACACATAGTATCCATAATTAGTATACATAGTACACATAGTATTTATAATATGGATAACTAGTACAGGTAGTATGTATAATACACATAGTACATAAAGTATGTATAGTACACATAGTACATAAATAATAAAGTATATATAGTACACATAGTACATAAATAATAAAGTATGTATACTACATTTCTTGCGTGATTTATTTGTAATTTTTTATTATATATATTTATTACTAATGTACATAGATGGGAGAACGAAACTTTGAGAAAGAAATGCATCGTATCCTCCAATTCTCTTCTAAATTGCGTGAATATAATAGTATGTTGCGGGATAAATATATAAAACAAGATGAGGATTTTGATCAAGAAAGAAAGGGATGGGATCGGGATAGAAAAAAGTGGAGTAAAAAACTAGAAGGGGTTGTTACTGAGAATCAAAACCTGCAGTTTGATAATGCTAGTAAAGCTATTTCTCTTGCTAATTCTAAATTTGAGATTGATATAAAATCCAAGGAAATTACAACACTTCGGTCTATGAAAAAAATATTAGAAGGTAGATTAACATCGGCTCAGAATAACGCAGTTTCGACCCAGGAAGAGATATTAAAAAAAGAATCCAAGGTCATGTCTCTCAAGTCTGAATTGGTAGATTTAAAGAACGAATTAGTTTCAAAGATTAGTGAGCTTGAGCGTCTAAAATCGGAGGCTATATCGAAACCTGTGATTGGTGGAAATGACGAAAAAAATATAATCAAGGATAGTGATCTCAGTAAATATTTTATACGTGGAAAAAATATGGATCCAATAGAAAAAATCGATGGTAATATATGTCTTGACACTAGCTCCGCTATCTCAACATATACTAATGAGAATAGCGAACCATCAAAAGTCGATACCGAGATCAGCCCTAAGATAAATGAGGGAACTAACATTAACGAAATTAGTGAAGATATTATACCCCAATCTCAAGGCTCGAAGAGCCATTGCTCTACAATAAAAATACCGAATATGACTCCTTACCTTGCACAGCCGGAAAATAATATATCCTCATTGATTGAATCACATTCTCAGATTCCAATAAGAGAAATAGAGACAATCCCTGTTGTGGCAAGCACTTTGATGTCACTGCTATTGGCATATATTTTTCTTATCTTGTTGATTATCGCAGTTATGTGGTTCGTGGTATTGGGACGCACATGGGGATTGAAGAGGAAAAGTGATCGGCTATGGGATATGTGGGTTGGATAATGAGACTATCTATTTGAACTTGGGTATTTTTTATATACGAAAAAATATTATTAATAATATATACGCATCGCGATATTGGGACTATATTTATATTGAGCTGACTGCCTTGTTTCATGTATTTAGAAAACTCTCAAGTGCTAGTTGATCTGTTTTCGATATATGAGATAAGGTAGGTTGTTCAGTAATCATCTCATTTTTTCTCATAGTCTCAGGTTGGCCAATTTTATCTGGGATTGTTATATGCTCTTTATATCGTATATGATATACTAACCTATGGAAGAAAACATCATATTTCTCGATAATTGGAATAAGTGCATTTAGGTGTTTCGTAAAATCGGAGCATATAGATTTTTTTATCTCTTCACTTATCAAGAGATTATCATTTTCAGTATACGCTCCAGCATACTCTATAAACCTTTCCCATAATCTCTCAACAGTATTAGTTGCCTTAAAATCCTCAAAACTAAGCCATTCTCTATGAAATATCTCATAGGTATTATCTATCTTCTGATGTAATATAGATTGTGCGGTTTTGATTGCATTCTTGTAAGCGCGTTTGTAAGTATATCTACGATTAGATATTATTTTAGGAGCGATTCCATATATCACATTTATCTCCTTAATATATGATTCGAGCCACTTCTTGGCCTTATTTTGAGCATAGGTGTCAACCTGTTTATATTTCTCATCTGAATCGGTAATCTTCATGATTTTGTCGGTAGATGGTGGTTCGTATTTTTTATCATACATGATAAATCGGGCGCAAAGCCCATTAATAGTATTTTCGAAGTAATGGGATAGATCCAATCCCCTATTTAATTCTTTTGCAACATCTGCGAATTCCATTTGATCAGCCTTTCTTATAGTGAGTTTAAAACCAGATAAATCAAAGACTTTATCGGGATAGACCATTACATAACTAAAGCGTTTCCCTAGATCAGGAATCTTGTTTTTATATTTTTCTTTCATTCGTCCTATAAATCGCTAGACATGTTTGTTATCTACATTAGGTTTCCATGCATCAGTTTCTATAAATTGCTCAAAATTCCATTGCCTGGGATTAGTTATACCCTCTTTAAGAACCTCTTCAACGATCTCATGGAGTGTTCGATTATTGTTAATATCCATTGCACCCCACATAATTCGATTTCCTATAGTTTTGAAAAGTTGCGACTTACCTTGCTTCACTGTATCGATTCCTTTAATAAAAAGATCTTTGGGCTTGAAGTTTGGAACTTTTTATGTGGTATTCCAAAATATTTCTTTTTACCTGTAAATACTACTGGGAATAAAACTTCTTCATAAGCCATTTTAAGATAGGTCGACCTATTCTTTATTCTAAGATATGAATTCACATCATCACGTAATTTCTCCATTACCTTCATAGTAATTTTAACCATTTCAGTCCAATACTCCAACTTTGAAATTGTACCTTTACCATCATTATAAGCGAGATCACATTCTTTATAACAGTCAACAGGACAGGTGAGATACAAAGAATCAGTGTCCCCATATTTTATTCCAAAACCTTTCTTCTTGGTTACATACTCAGCAACAAGTTTAATGTTATATTGACCTGCCGATGTGACACCACCGGCCAATTGTAGGAAGAAGAATGGAGATAGACTATTACCTGCTTCCCCATAGAAGGTATTTATATATATTTTTACTGCTTTTTGTTTTGAATTTAAGCAAGTGTAGTCGAAACAAATAGAATCATATTCTATTTTAAAATTCTCATAAGTTTCATTAATAAGAAGAATCAAGATTTCATTCATATTGGTACGTTTTTCTTTATCTTTAGCATTTTTAGAATATGATTGATAGCATCAGCCACTGACAAACTCCCTCTTTTATTTTACTAATTACCAATTCCATATACTCTTTTTTGTTGCTAAGTATTCCCAATTGAGCCTTCATCTTATTTTGTTTATTAAGAAGTTCTTTTAAAACTGATGGATATAACCCCATTTTATTATTTTTATTTCCATGTCTTATAGACCAGGCATATAAAATTTGGCCATTAAAAAGGAACTCGATTTTATAGAGAATTTCTCTAGCCTTTTCTAATACACCTGCCTCTTCTGCTAGTAAAGTCATTGTTTCTGGCGAGAGATTATAATTCATAATAATGCTTGGGTATAAAGATGCAAAATCTAAACCTGTAACAGGACATTTGTTTTCTAGACCCTTATCTGGAGGAAATATATAGGCTCCGGAAAATGTTCCTTTTTCTGTCCGTTCGGAAGGAATCATAGTGATTAATATATCTCTTTTCCACGCTTCGGCACCTAATAGATTACATACCTTCATACCCCCTGCATAGTAATGTGAATCGAATAAAGAAACATATGCAATTGAGGCCACTTCTCTGTAATCATTTATTACGTTTCTCTTAACCATAAGGCTTTGACAACTAAGAGAATCAACAATACAATACTCAGCAATTTTACGTATATTTTCAGCAGTCTTGGGTGAGGTATTCTCCTTGCTTCGTATATAATATTCCCTCATAACTTTTATTGATAAATCTATTTTACTATCAAGATCATGTATTTCTAAGAAATAGTTAAGTGATTTTTTCTCAGATTTTGGATAAAGTTTTTCACAACATACTTTCACATCAATTGGGACACAACCGGGAATCTTAAGAAAGGTGGATTTAAAATATTTCTCTGGAGTGGTTTTGATTTCGATCCCTTTCCGATTTTTTATTTTTTTGGATGCGTTAGCATTCTTACTCTGTGAGTCTTCCTTTTCATATATGTGCTCTTTATGGAAAAAATCTTTATAAAAAGGTTCGCCTACCCCTCTGTAATAATTCCAACGAAGTATAGAATCAATTGTAGCCTTTTTTCGTGGGTTTGCTGACATCTTTGCCACCATCCAATCTAAAATTTTCCACTGGGTGGCTCTTTCTACTACAAACGGCCAGTCATACTTGGAACCATTAAAGGTGAGTTCGATATCAGGGGCTAAAGCTCGCCAACATAATGCAAAGGCCTTTAATAGATTTTTCTCATTTCCACAAATAATTGTAATCCTATTTGGATCTGGTACCGTTTCTATATCAACTAGACAAATCTGTTTTAATGGTTTTGGGTCATCTTTCCAATGAACAGTTATACTGATCATAAATATGTTATCTTCTTTATATCTTGCTATAGGTAGATGCTCCAAGCCACGTGTTGTGTGTGTTTCTATATTCCAAGCAAGAACTAATGTCCGGTCATGGGTAATAAGTGAAGGAGGATAGGTTTTATATAATACTGTGGGATCCTCTATATGACGAAAATTATTAATAGGTACATAAAAGGCATGGTTACAGAGTGGAGAACGAGCACTGTAAGGCATTCTACTACTATTGTATTTATAATCAGTTAATAATACCCACCCAGAAAGTGGTATTCTATATTCTCTAGCAACTTTCCGATAATATATACTTGTTGTGTCGTCTGAGGCGGTTTCGAACTTTTTCCCATTTTTATTTTTCTAATTATATTCTAAAATAATATTAAGAGCTATCAATCTTTGTTTTTTTGTATTTGTAAAAATGTGAATATAAGATTTTTTTTCTTTACAGTATCCACGAATAGGGAATGCTTTTATATGTTCTATCCGAAGCTCAGCCATAACTACAGTTCCCCTCATCATCTTTTCCTTTAGCAATGATATCCTTTAACTTAGACACAAATAACTTTATATTTTCATTATCGGGGACACGGATATCAAAGAAAACTTTTATACCAGAAATTGTTACCACTGCTTTCTCTCCATTGACAAGTGAACCATATAATCGTAGAACATAATGTGGGGTATCATTTATATATTCGTTATATTCTTCAATATCAGTAGATATAAATGGAATATCTTCCCCAATAATTAAAGCCCGTTTAATAGTCATGGTTGATCCATAATCATTATTCTCTTTAACTATACTATTATGACTGGGACGGGTCGGTAAGTAATCTTCTCCATTGTAGTAAAATGCCTGGCTTACCTTCTTACTTTCTGAAATCTGTGATTGAGGAAAAGCTTTGGCCCCCCGGTGGTAGAAGGCCCTATTATTCTCTGATTCTATCTCTAGCTCGAAATTGTCTGAGTTTTCTGGGCTCTCCGGCGTGATTAACGTTTTCTTGAAAATTTTGGGTATCCATGGTAAGTGCAATAATATCGGACATCTTTTTGTAAATTTATATTATCTGTACGAAAAAAATTTAAAATAAAAATTAATTCCTTACAATAAATAGTGTGAAAACCCAATTATACTACGAGACAAAAAAATCGTACCAAAAATATAACACTTGGAATACATGGCATTTTATCGTTGCGAATATATCCTCAGAACTGGAGAAGTTTGTGGGCGAGGTAGTTATAGGCCCGAAGGCTGTGGTTACCATTGGAAATCCCCTCAATGTATACCTTGTAAAGAGTGTGGTAAAATTACTTCCTCTATATATGGTATGTGCGAGAAAGAATCAGAGAATAATAGGGCCTTCTACCACCGGGGGGCCAAAGCTTTTCCTCAATCACAGATTTCAGAAAGTAAGAAGGTAAGCCAGGCATTTTACTACAATGGAGAAGATTACTTACCGACCCGTCCCAGTCATAATAGTATAGTTAAAGAGAATAATGATTATGGATCAACCATGACTATTAAACGGGCTTTAATTATTGGGGAAGATATTCCATTTATATCTACTGATATTGAAGAATATAACGAATATATAAATGATACCCCACATTATGTTCTACGATTATATGGTTCACTTGTCAATGGAGAGAAAGCAGTGGTAACAATTTCTGGTATAAAAGTTTTCTTTGATATCCGTGTCCCCGATAATGAAAATATAAAGTTATTTGTGTCTAAGTTAAAGGATATCATTGCTAAAGGAAAAGATGATGAGGGGAACTGTAGTTATGGCTGAGCTTCGGATAGAACATATAAAAGCATTCCCTATTCGTGGATACTGTAAAGAAAAAAAATCTTATATTCACATTTTTACAAATACAAAAAAACAAAGATTGATAGCTCTTAATATTATTTTAGAATATAATTAGAAAAATAAAAATGGGAAAAAGTTCGAAACCGCCTCAGACGACACAACAAGTATATATTATCGGAAAGTTGCTAGAGAATATAGAATACCACTTTCTGGGTGGGTATTATTAACTGATTATAAATACAATAGTAGTAGAATGCCTTACAGTGCTCGTTCTCCACTCTGTAACCATGCCTTTTATGTACCTATTAATAATTTTCGTCATATAGAGGATCCCACAGTATTATATAAAACCTATCCTCCTTCACTTATTACCCATGACCGGACATTAGTTCTTGCTTGGAATATAGAAACACACACAACACGTGGCTTGGAGCATCTACCTATAGCAAGATATAAAGAAGATAACATATTTATGATCAGTATAACTGTTCATTGGAAAGATGACCCAAAACCATTAAAACAGATTTGTCTAGTTGATATAGAAACGGTACCAGATCCAAATAGGATTACAATTATTTGTGGAAATGAGAAAAATCTATTAAAGGCCTTTGCATTATGTTGGCGAGCTTTAGCCCCTGATATCGAACTCACCTTTAATGGTTCCAAGTATGACTGGCCGTTTGTAGTAGAAAGAGCCACCCAGTGGAAAATTTTAGATTGGATGGTGGCAAAGATGTCAGCAAACCCACGAAAAAAGGCTACAATTGATTCTATACTTCGTTGGAATTATTACAGAGGGGTAGGCGAACCTTTTTATAAAGATTTTTTCCATAAAGAGCACATATATGAAAAGGAAGACTCACAGAGTAAGAATGCTAACGCATCCAAAAAAATAAAAAATCGGAAAGGGATCGAAATCAAAACCACTCCAGAGAAATATTTTAAATCCACCTTTCTTAAGATTCCCGGTTGTGTCCCAATTGATGTGAAAGTATGTTGTGAAAAACTTTATCCAAAATCTGAGAAAAAATCACTTAACTATTTCTTAGAAATACATGATCTTGATAGTAAAATAGATTTATCAATAAAAGTTATGAGGGAATATTATATACGAAGCAAGGAGAATACCTCACCCAAGACTGCTGAAAATATACGTAAAATTGCTGAGTATTGTATTGTTGATTCTCTTAGTTGTCAAAGCCTTATGGTTAAGAGAAACGTAATAAATGATTACAGAGAAGTGGCCTCAATTGCATATGTTTCTTTATTCGATTCACATTACTATGCAGGGGGTATGAAGGTATGTAATCTATTAGGTGCCGAAGCGTGGAAAAGAGATATATTAATCACTATGATTCCTTCCGAACGGACAGAAAAAGGAACATTTTCCGGAGCCTATATATTTCCTCCAGATAAGGGTCTAGAAAACAAATGTCCTGTTACAGGTTTAGATTTTGCATCTTTATACCCAAGCATTATTATGAATTATAATCTCTCGCCAGAAACAATGACTTTACTAGCAGAAGAGGCAGGTGTATTAGAAAAGGCTAGAGAAATTCTCTATAAAATCGAGTTCCTTTTTAATGGCCAAATTTTATATGCCTGGTCTATAAGACATGGAAATAAAAATAATAAAATGGGGTTATATCCATCAGTTTTAAAAGAACTTCTTAATAAACAAAATAAGATGAAGGCTCAATTGGGAATACTTAGCAACAAAAAAGAGTATATGGAATTGGTAATTAGTAAAATAAAAGAGGGAGTTTGTCAGTGGCTGATGCTATCAATCATATTCTAAAAATGCTAAAGATAAAGAAAAACGTACCAATATGAATGAAATCTTGATTCTTCTTATTAATGAAACTTATGAGAATTTTAAAATAGAATATGATTCTATTTGTTTCGACTACACTTGCTTAAATTCAAAACAAAAAGCAGTAAAAATATATATAAATACCTTCTATGGGGAAGCAGGTAATAGTCTATCTCCATTCTTCTTCCTACAATTGGCCGGTGGTGTCACATCGGCAGGTCAATATAACATTAAACTTGTTGCTGAGTATGTAACCAAGAAGAAAGGTTTTGGAATAAAATATGGGGACACTGATTCTTTGTATCTCACCTGTCCTGTTGACTGTTATAAAGAATGTGATCTCGCTTATAATGATGGTAAAGGTACAATTTCAAAGTTGGAGTATTGGACTGAAATGGTTAAAATTACTATGAAGGTAATGGAGAAATTACGTGATGATGTGAATTCATATCTTAGAATAAAGAATAGGTCGACCTATCTTAAAATGGCTTATGAAGAAGTTTTATTCCCAGTAGTATTTACAGGTAAAAAGAAATATTTTGGAATACCACATAAAAAGTTCCAAACTTCAAGCCCAAAGATCTTTTTATTAAAGGAATCGATACAGTGAAGCAAGGTAAGTCGCAACTTTTCAAAACTATAGGAAATCGAATTATGTGGGGTGCAATGGATATTAACAATAATCGAACACTCCATGAGATCGTTGAAGAGGTTCTTAAAGAGGGTATAACTAATCCCAGGCAATGGAATTTTGAGCAATTTATAGAAACTGATGCATGGAAACCTAATGTAGATAACAAACATGTCTAGCGATTTATAGGACGAATGAAAGAAAAATATAAAAACAAGATTCCTGATCTAGGGAAACGCTTTAGTTATGTAATGGTCTATCCCGATAAAGTCTTTGATTTATCTGGTTTTAAACTCACTATAAGAAAGGCTGATCAAATGGAATTCGCAGATGTTGCAAAAGAATTAAATAGGGGATTGGATCTATCCCATTACTTCGAAAATACTATTAATGGGCTTTGCGCCCGATTTATCATGTATGATAAAAAATACGAACCACCATCTACCGACAAAATCATGAAGATTACCGATTCAGATGAGAAATA